TGCATTCGTGTGGACGATCACATTTATTTTACGTCTCCGTCTTTACGACAAACATTCTGGAAAATATTAAAATTTCGTGTTTGTTTTGACTTCGTGTGGGCGGGGCCTAAACTCTTGGTTTTTATTTTCTATGAGCCATAATTAGAAAAATGACCAGAAATAAAAGCTTGGAATATTTCACTCTATGTGAGCTGAGTCTATATAATAATGAGTTTTATTTATTTTTTGGACCCATACCGCCATATATGGTCAAAGTCTTTCATATTTATGAAAGCAGCACTTCTTAAATCATCTTATATAAGCAGTTTATTTAGTCTTAGTGTAAGTGTAATCCTCACCCATCACTTTGAGTTCTGTTTGGCTGTTGCTGCTACCACTACTTGTCATCACCATGCATGTGTATATTCCCTGGTGCTTCACTTCAATGTTGCTGATGAGCAGAGAAACGTTGAAGTCGTTCATGTTGCGGTTAGGAAACGTAAAGCCCGGTTGCTCTTTAAATGGTTTTTCATTCTTGAAATTATAAAGTGCAATAGGACTTTCATCCCCTTTCTTCTTCCAGACCACCAAGGTGATTTCTAAATCTGGTATAGGCTGCGTCAGTTTGACCTCACACTTCAGCAACGATTGATGGTTCACCTGGCCCATGCTTATGGGATCACACACCACTTCAACAAAAGCTGTAGAGAAAGAAAGGAAGAGAAAATAAAACCGAAGGTTAAAGGAATCGCCTGGAGCAGGTAAATGAATCCATGTTATAGAAATTAACCATTTAAACTTACAGCTTTCAGCCACTGCATAGAGACAGAAAAACAGGACCCCAACGAGGAACCAGTAAAGCGAGGCCATTTCTTTTAACCTGGATAAAAAAAAAAGAGAGACATGATCAGTTTGGCTCATTTTTAAAGATAAAAAACGAAGGTATGTAGGACAAACTCTGAAGATCAGTGTCGTTTTCAGAAATAAGTCACAGCAGACGTCATGTTTATGCAACTAAAGGTAAAAATCAGGTTATTAAGGAAAGTTATGTTAGAAAGTCAGGCTTTTAAAAACTGCAAATATTTCCAGTAGGGATGCACGATATAATCGGCCCCCTATCGGTATCGGCCTTAAAACTGAATATCGGACATCGGCCACCCCACCGATATTTAACCCGATATTTGATCAGCTTCTGAGTTTCTAAAGTCTAAAAAAAATAAATAAATACTACTTCTTCTTCTTCTTCCTCAAAAACGTATTTTTTACAGACTTAAAAACTTCTAAAGATG